ACAGGTGAGGAGGTCTCCTTTGATTTCACCACTTCATTCACCACATGTTCACCTGACCACATGGGATTCTGTCTGCAGGTAAACAGACCTCTGAAGCTCCGCCCCCTGCCTCGACATGGACTCCACCCTCTACCTCGGCCCCGCCCCCTGCCTCAGACCCCTCCCACCTTGTGATCAGACTGGTCTGCCACCTGGTGGTGTTCTGTCCGTACTGCATCTCCACTTTCATCATGGTGTCTTTATATCAACGCAGACCCACAGGTATCAATCAATCAATCAACTAATCAACCAATCAATCAACCCATCAATCAATCAACCAATCAACATTACATTACATTACATTACAGTTACATTACAGTCATTTAGCAGACACTTTTATCCAAAGCGACTTACAATTCAGAGTCTATCACATTTCTACACCGTAGGCACAGCTACGGGAGCAATTTTGGGGTTAAGTGTCTTGCTCAAGGACACATCGACATGCGACTAGCAGAGCCGGAGCCGGGGATTGAACCGCTGACCCTCTGATTGAAAGATGGCCCTGCTATCCACTTAGCCACACAACCCATCAATCCATCAATCCATCAATCAATCAATCAATCAATCAACCAACCAACCAACCAAATCACTCCAGTGTTCATGATTGACTCCTCTTATTGATCTACTTTCTCTTTCTAACTCGCTCTGAATGTAGGAAGTGACCCGCCTGTCTCCATGGTGATGACCTCGCCCACTCAGGCTGAGGAGGGATTGGATGATGACTACGATGACGTCATCACTGTTGCCACCACGGAGCATCACTTCTGAACTGTGGTGGGAAAGAATATCCTGTACATGCTCTGTGTGAGTCTTTGGATGCAGAAATAAAGAACACCAAAGACCAGAGGTTCCCTTCTGTGTATTTATTCTCTGCTCAGAGAAGGTTCAATCATCACAACAGGATGCGTTCAGTCTCAGTGAGGAAGAACCAAGAACAACGTGAACAAGCTTTCTTTATACAGAAGGAGCAGAGGTGGGGCCAACGGCTGATGTTACAGACATTACGGTCTCAGACTGAAAGGAACAACAATGAACAACAAACGGGCAGCAACCAAAGCAGCGGCCCAAAGGCCTTGGTGCTGGAACATCCTCATAGAACACAGTTAGTTAGAGAACTCTTCTTCTGCTCAACAGAGACACCGTGAAGTTACTTATGCATGAATACAATATACTGAGTAGAAATATATATACTACGTAAAGAAATACCATTACAGAACTCACCTAGAATTTATTACGAAATGAAATCAAATACATTGTTTGTCATAGTTCATAGTAAATATAGTTAGTTACATTTAGTTACACCACCTCTGCATTGTCAGATATCAAATGATGGTTCTTTATTTCTTCAATATCCTAAATTCCTACTCACTCATCGTAAAATATATATATATTTTATTGGGCTATCAAATATAATAATTCAATACAACCATCAGTGATAAACACATTTTAATCTAAAAGAGTTTGAAAACTTAAATCATTGTGTTGATTCTACCACCAGGGGGCGCCCAAGTCAAACATGTTCATTTGTTATTCATACTTTATAAACATGTTCATTTGTTATTCATACTTTATAAACATGTTCATTTGTTATTCATACTTTATACACATGTTCATTTGTTATTCATACTTTATAAACATGTTCATTTGTTATTCATACTTTATAAACATGTTCATTTGTTGTTCATACTTACTCTTTAGCTCGGGCCCTATTTGTAGGCCTCTGCTCGAAAATAGCATACCCATATTAAAGTGACCATAGTTCTGTAACTACAAGGTCTATTTCAATAATTTTTGTTGATATAGTCAGATCACAACACTTGTGACATTGTTCAGATGGGTAATATTGTGTATATGTTGCTGGTTAATATAGTAATGAAGACATTACACAGCTCAAATTGAAAATAATCAGGTTCGCCTGAAAAAAAATCACTTTTATTGATATAAGGTTGCTGAAATAATGCAGATATCTCCCTAAAAACTCTCCCAAATCATAGCACAACCGATCAGTAGTTGTTGAATAAAGGTTGAAGTGGGATAAAGTGAAGAATAAGAGGCTTTAGTAGAGAGCGGTCAAGCGAGGTCATCATTTTCGAACCAGCTGTTGCAGCTCTTACATTGTACTTTTATATACTATATAACTATATATTTCACTTTTTTATCACTCATATTATTCAATACATCCAAATACAGATGTTAGGAATCATTTTGAGATTCCTAACATCATCAGAGCCTGTTTCTGGCTGTCATCTATAGGATTTTCTCAGTTCATGTGTGTATGGGGCTGTATCTCAGCCTATCATCGGTCGATTTCAGTCAATAAGCCCTCCTTCAATGCGTCAGAGTCTCAGGAAGGCCTGAGTCGAATTTGGTGTTGATTGACAGAAGTTTCAACCAGTAAAGTTGCAAGAAGTGCCACGTCTCCCCAGGCGTAAATTTTCGCTCGCCGGAAGTCTGACTGCTCACCCATGCTGGATTGACCGCTCTTATTCTGGAAACAGCTCGGAAGTAAACAGGATGCAGTTGGCAACAATGACTCCAGCTTTGAAACGGATAATCTGCGACGTTATTGCACTCATTTTTCATAAAACTTGGCCACATACCTATGATTTTTTTCGGCGGAGGGCAGTACGAAGGTACGTTTGACCACTCACAGCTGTCCAGTGCTCCCACGGAGCGGAAAAACCGAAGTTATTTACGCGTTTGGCCACGAGTGCTAATGCTATTAAATGCATTGCAAAGCTAGGTAGCCGCTAGCATCAGGGTGCAAACATTGATTTGCGGTACTCATAACGGCCATTTCTGGCCAGGATTTCATGCTTTTATGCCACGTTTTCTAGATGCTTATATGAGTAGTCTATAGTTGTGTTTGGAATGTGTAAGAAGTGACTTATATGATAGTGTTGCCCATACGTTGCCGTTTAATCCGGATAAAAACTGGACCAATCCACATTATTGCCGAAGAATAAGGCTATTTTCCGAACATGATTTTCAGGGGTTCTGAGCCCGAGAGCCCCCAAATTTGGAGGCGTCGTGTGCAAGAGGTTTTAATAAAACTGTAGTTTTTCAGCTGTGAAGCCAAATACAATCAAGAGGAAATGCATCAAAGTAACAATTAAAGACCACAGCGATCAGTTCACCTTTGAGTCCAGGTGTTTGTGACTAAATCTGAAGACATTCCCTCCAGATGTTCCTGAGATATCGAGTTCACGAGAACGGACGAACACGACAGAGAAGCTGAAAACACGACGTAAAAACATATATTTAACTATACAAAACAACAACAAAGTTTAGAATCGATACTCGGTGGTGACGTCAGCAATGACATCATCGTACGCTTGGTCCAATCCCTCGTCATCCTCGCTGGGTGGAGACGTCGTCATAACAACAGGCTGGTTCCTTCCTGCAGAGTTACATAATCATTTAATGGATCATCTGACGAGTTATTCGCCATGAAGCACGTTGTGATTTGATCGATCGATTGATTGCAACAGGTCGACATGTTAATGCGTCTGATTTGTTGGTTTATGACCAAATACCGGCAGAACTAAAGACACTCGATAATCAGCTAATGCTAGCACGCTACCGTGCTAAGCTAACATGGGGAACACGGTGAATGTGCAGCCTCACTGACTCCCACCAGAGGCTCAGTGCTACCTGTGGGCCTGTGTCGGAACACGGACACCATGAGGATGGTGGCGACGCAGTACGGGGACACTACCAGCAGGTGGCGCATCACTCCCAGCCAGGAGAGGGTGGAGTCTGCAGCCGAGGAAGACGAGCCGTGTGGATCTGGAAAAACAAACACACCTGTTCAGGTGAATGTCACTGATGTTACACTCACTAAAACACACCTTTAACAGGGACAGTCAACCAATAGAACCAAAGAGTTAGCATCTATCGGATTAGCAACAGAAGGGATGACCCACACAATGATTTAAGTCACCTCAATATTCACTTACAACTAGGAATAGAAACGCATGTGGTGAATGAAGTGGTGAAATCAAAGGAGACCTCCTCACCTGT